CTCACAGGGCTGCTAGGAGACACAGCCTGGCCTTAGTCACCGCAGGAGGGCCCAGGCCGGTGTGAGTGCAGGTAGGACGTTGTGGCACCGGGTGACATGGACGTGGCACCGGGTGACATGGACAAGCCACTGTCCTGAGCCTCCCGTTCTCTGGCAGAGAATCATGGCCCTCGCCCTACAGAACAGGCTGTCCACAGGTGATGGCCGGTTCACCACAACACCTTCCCTCTGTGCAGGCCTGGGCCCCAAGGTGTGGGGAGTCAGGTGTGTGGCCTTTTGTGGTATCTGTGTGACCCAGGAGAAGAGGTCCTCCACCGTGTGTGTGTGTGTGTGTGTGTGTGTGTGTGCATGAGTCTCTGTGTCTCTGTGTGATCCCATATGTCCGTGTCTCTGCGTATTATCGTGTAATTGTGTCTTTCTCTGCACACCTGTGTGTATAAGTGTGTGTGCCTAGGTGCACATGTGTCTCTGTCTCTAGGTGTTTCTATCTAGACCGAGGGTGTGTGTGGGTTGTGTGGGTGTTTCTGTGATTGTGTTGCTGAGTCAGTGTGTGTCTGTGACTGTGTGTTAAATGAAACAGATGCAGATGTAGGGACAATGAGGGGTTCTTAACTCCCTTTATCCTCAAACAAGGACCCCTCACTGGAGTGGAAAGAAGGAGTCCTTCCCAGTCACACCCAGGAGCCCTTGGGTGGCACTTGGCAGCTGGTGTCACCACCCTAAGTACCCACACAAATGGGCTGTGGAGCCCAAGCAACAAGGAATCCAGCTGCTGGTGAGAGATTCCTGGGCCAGGGTCTTGGTAGACACAAGCCTGGTGACTTCAGGCAGCTGGCGATTACTGGGCATCCACCAAGGGTCAGGCACAGTTCCAGGCCCCTAGCGTGTATAGATTCCTTGGTTCCTCTCGTCACCCCTCTGAGGGCACATCAAGGAAAAAGGAACCTGGATCTTGGAAGGCCATGGGGCTCCCTTCCACCCACACTCCCACACGGCCTCGCACAGGCTGGTTCTGCTAAACTGAGCTCACCCAGGGAAGAACTTCGAGGCCCTTGGGTGAGATCGGGCTCACTGGAGACAAACATCTTGGCAGGAGCTGGAGGTGCCCCAGGCTGATTTCTGAGACAGGAGTTCCTGGACACAGGCACTGAGCGTCCCCACACCCCCACTCTATAGGCTAGTGAGCATGAGAAGCCCTGAGAGCACGTGGGGTGTGGCCTGTGTGCAAGGCAGCGCAGCGAGCCCCTCTGCGGAACACACAGGCTCTGCCGGGTGAGGAGTTCTCCCTCAGCCTCCTCTGGAGCTGACGCTGGGGGAGAGCACCGGGAGCCTCCCTGCCTGGATATATCTGCACTTGACACAGCAGGAAACTGAGGCACACAGAGTTTTAGCTCCAATTGGCCAGAGCCAGGCTTTGAACCCAGGCATCTGAATCTCGGTGATCCTGCGGGACAGAGTGAGTTGTTGGGGAGTGGAAATGCATCTCTCACAAAGTGCCCAGCACAGGGTGGGTCCCTGCAGAGGGTAAGTGCCTCTGCCCTTGATCTCTTGGTTACAACTCCTGGCCTGAAAGGGAGAGGTGAATTCACTAAGTCCTCTGCTGGCCTGACAACCTTTACAGTTCCCTCCTGCCCTCCCCAGGCTGGGACTCCCCTGTGGTCTCCTGATCTTCACCTGTGTCTCCATCTGCAGAGGCA